AAGTGCCAAGGGCAATTAAGCAAAGTCAATCGATGAAAGACTTAAGAATTGGAGTTAGATGTGAAACCCTCAGAACAGATCACCGTATAGGCCTCATAGGAGACAATGGAAAATGTACATAAATCTATAGATACACTATTACTATTAATGAGTGAATCTAGCAAAATTACTAGATTAAAAAGCTAATCAACAAAAAAAGCAGTGACCGCTTTACATTCCAACAAGTAGCAAATGAAATGTTCTTTATTTTGTTATTATTTTAGTAAGCAAACTTATTCACTGTGTGATAATTGGAAACATGTATATACATTGTGCATGATTAAACTGGGTCGTTGCATTTCCATCTCCTTCTTTTAAAATTTTAATTAATGAAATAAATGTACATATTTGTGAAAAAAATTGGCTCTCCTTTTAACCCATCTATCTCTCTAACTTTTGATCTGCAAACTTTAGTTGTTAAACATCCAGAAGAGAAGTTTAATGATATTATTACCCTGTAACAGAGGCAGTTGAGCTTAACATCACTATCTGTCTGCATATCAAACACCCTAAATATAAAATGGAACTGCTATTTTGCAACAACCATGGATATTCTAAAATTTAAATCAAAAAACAATACATATTTTTGCACAGAAATTTAGAAATCGCACCACATACAACAATGTAGCAGGATAATCCTATGACATTTTTTTCTTTGTCTCTCATTTTCTTTTATTACCTTTTGTTTTTTTGCAAAAATTTATTTTAGAGAGAGTATAGCAATAATTGATATGACGTTAGAAGCAGTATGCATTTAGAAGATCAAAATATGTTCTTTTTGAACCAGCTATTTGCTGAAGATTTATACCAGGGAAAACAAAAGCAGTAGCATTCTAATCTAGGTTGGATTATCCCTACTGTGTTATGTGGCTCCTCCGAAGTGATTGTGTGTGTGTGTGTGTGTGTGTGTGTGTGTGTGTGTGTTAGCCATTACTTTTACAAAATAGCAGTTGGCAGCAGCTGTATAGTTGGTCATAATTCAATCTCTATCCTGTATCCAGCCTCTTAATATCTTTCCTTTTCCTTCTTTGATGCACAGCATTTGGCTGTCCTTCCACATATAGTTCTCATTTAGATTACAGATTGTTTTCCTGCACAGATAGCTAGGAGTACATGTAATCTGTAGGTGTTTATGCTTGCATTTCTATGTTTCATTCTCCTTATTTTTGAGGTCATAGATTCTGAGAAGTATGTCTGAAACCTACTGTGCTATCTTTTATCAATTTCCCAAAGCTTTTCTCATACCTTATATTTGGACTTTCTTCTGCAGGAGAAAGAATGTATACATTGCTGCCTTTTGCTCTTCATGATTCTTTTTTGGCTTCTCATGTTACTTTTCCTTCATCCCACAAGGAAGGCCTCACATGAAATATTACCTGCATGCCTTCCGATGATTTCACATTGATAGGTGCCATCTTCCCTGTGATGTTCCTATTCAGAAGCGACTTGATTCTTTTGAAATGTTTTTGCTTACATATAACTGCTATAATAAACAAACCTCAAATTATTTAACAGTACACATTAGTGAAAGCTTATTACACTTATGTAAACTAAAGTACAAGTAATCATCTCTTGATTGGTTCTTTGGTAAGCAGATACAGCTGCCTGTAAGGCTTCCAAAAGTGCTTATCTACATGAAGCCAGCAGAGGGAGGCTCAATGCATAGAAGTAGGAGGTACAGGAGATTTGATCCATGCAAGTTTAGCATAATGGAATCGTCTTCTCTTGCTCTATGATCATCTAACCTTGAGGAGAAGAGGGCCAAGGTATTGTAGACCTGCTGTGTGAACCAGACGTGAAGGAGAAAGTAGGGAGTTCAGGGAACAGCTCCCTGTGCTCTAACTTGCCTATCATAAATGCCAGGAAGGCCAAAGGAACTTGAGCTTTTCTAAACAAATTAATCTTTTCACTGACTCAACAAATGTGCGTTGTCTTCCTTCTTTACACCTACCATATAACTTAGTTCGCTGGAACTATCTTAACACCCTCCACAGGAATGATAGTTATTTTTCTGAACTATCCCACAAGTAAAAAAGGATTCAATTAAAAATTCCTTTGTAACAACCAAAACTTTTTGAAATTAATTGTCTTCATTAAAGACAAATATGTTTGAATAATTCCACAAGGACCAGTAGCTGTGAAGCCTTAATATATTATATGATCTGCCAAGTTAGATTCGCCACTGGATGTCCATTCCTCCAAATAAGTTACAGCACATTCTTTCAACTGATAAAATGTATCTGTATTTCAAAGGAAATCTAATCGCAGCTATTTTAAAATGTGGATTAAATAGTTGAGTTTACTCATCTCAATTAAATGCAGAAGGTGTACGTGATGTATTGCTTAGGGTATGAGCAAAATCGTGGAGTTAGAAGTTGCTTAATACCATGCAACTTTTCAGTTATGAAGTCTAAACTAATGCTTATACATTCATAGTCAAGTAATGAATGTTCACCACCTCACCTTCTCAACCTGCCCCATTAAAATGTACCAGCAAAGCAACATGTGTCCCTGTCACATAGAAGACAAAAAAGCTTTCATTTTTGTAGCTGATCTATCTCATTAAATTATCTAGATTACTGGAATTTATGTCAGAAATATTCTTCCTTGTCTTCCTAGTGCTCTGTTTGAAATGGCTCAAAAGGAAATCATTTTTCTCATGCCCCTAAGAAAGTGGCTCTCAGTAGCTCACACTTGGACACTGAGAAGCCCAGTGTCCCATGGTGTGGGATTCTATGTAGGAGAAGGGTGCAGGAAGAACAGAGCCACTTCAGGACTGTGCCTGAGGCCCGTGGGTATGCCCACTCCTGTGTGACCCACTGTTCACCTTCCACAGGTGCCCCCCTTCTCTGTCCTCCTTGTTGGACTCTGGCTATGCATGTGTGAGCTGGCGCTCTTCATTCTTGGTGACATGCTTTAAAAAGAAACAGCTTTCCATTTTTTCGTGTGTTCTGATGGCAGCTAGTTATAACCTTTTATTTACTACTAACTTACTGGTAATTATAATTAGAATATGTGAAGTGGAACAAAATCATTGAATAGTTTTCAAATCTGACCTTAAATATCATAGTTGCCTAATTAGAAACAGTAATAGTTCTCTTTTTAAAATTTACTTATGCAGAATTTTCTCATTTCATCCTCATGATAACCATATTTTGTTGGGATTATTATTTCATGTTTAAGGGGTGACAAGGCAGAGACATAGGCAGAGACAGTGACCTTACTGTGTCACATATCAGTCAGGAAAAAAGAAGGCCTCCAGCCTAGGCCTGTAAAAAGCAGGCTCCTTTTTTTTGGTGAAATGAAAGCGCAACTTTGGGCCTAGTAGAAGAATCTCTCATCTTGTCCCTTTCTCCAGGTGTACCTGAAGTACTGAGCTTCCGGTTCATGTTTGTAAAACTCACGTCCATCACCGTGCCTGGTGATGCACACCTGTAATCCAGCACTCTGGGAGGCTGAGAAGGAGGTTGGAAAGTCCCATATGGACAACTTAGTGAGACCATCTTTTGAAATAATGTTGAGTGAAATAAATCAGTCAGGCAAGCTTAAATATGACATGTTTTCTTTTATATGAGAAACCCATAATACGAACAAAGAGCACAGAGAAGATAATAGGGATTAGAGAAATGGGTCTTTACAAATGGGAAGGGGACCAAGAGATGGAGGAGGGGAGGGGAAAGGGGGATAAATATTATTAAAATGTATCATGTATGGGTGCCAACTCCCTCCAAGGAATGGAAACACGTACTGCCAACATGTCCTCAAGAAAAACAAGAATTAAAAATTATTTTTTAATCTTGCTTTTCTGTTTATTATCTTATTTCACAGACTTTATGTTTTATTGTTATACATAAGAATGCAGAGAAACATGTCAGTTGTTGGAATGGACTCCAGGACTCCTGCCCCTGTTAAATCACTCTACTTCATCAGATTGAGCATGCCAGCTTCTAGGGCTTTTTATTGACATTTCAAAAAATAATTTTAAAAAAATCAATAAAAAGCACTAATAAGTAATGCAGGCCCTGAGTTCACTTTCTGGTACTCCACAATATAAATAAACAAATATATGAAAGAATGAATTAGTTAGATACTTAGCAGCTCCACCAACAGGCTTTCTGTAGTACTCACTTATTGCATTTATTATACTGCTGTTTTGAGAGACGCTAGGAATATGCTGGTGAGAATGTATTATTTTATTTATTGCTGTCAATTTTGTTTTTAAGTTTTTTAAACTGAAGACTGAACTCAGGACCTTTACCCTGAGGCAAACTCCTAAACTATTTTTTGTTTTTTATTTTAAGACAGGGCCTCGCTAAGACTCAGTTTCCCATGCTTGGGTGTAACCTTTCTGCCTCAGCCTCACCAGCACCCTCCCCGAGTGTTGGGATCACAGACAGGCTTCACCATGCCAAGCTTCTCTGGTTCTTTCTACTGCACTTTTCACTACAGACTGAGTCCTGGGGCTAAGAATATAGAAGTACTTCATCCAGTTTTATGTGACTTTAGGCAGCTTTAGGACACAAAGCCAAATCAGTCCATTTTGGATTTTAGATTTGGGTACTGCCCACCCATAACTTGAGAGGGGTTAGTGGCCACAAAAAGGTCACAGGTAGACAGAGGCAACCTTGGGAAGATGCAGCAATTCAGATTACAGTGTTGGCTGCAAACCATAGAACACTTGGTCTGCTGCCTGCTTCTCCACAGAGCAGCTATTCCTGCCCAATGAGGCTTTCTTCACAGCAGCAGGAGCCTTCACAGTTGGACGGAATGAATGTGCCCCAGAGGGCTCGGCTTCCTGGAGTCTTTATGCAGAGGAGCAGGCCCCATAAGGACGTATTGTACAATGTAATTGTAATAATTAAAATAAAGCCCAGTGGCCTATGTGGCAGCTGAAGTTGCTAAATAAACTGAGTGACTCAGCCCGCTGCTTTTTATTTACTATGACCTTCTGTTTTTTCTAGGGTGATAGAGAAGCAGAGCTGGGGCTGCCCTTCTCACCTCTGTGTGACAGAAAGTCTACCATGGTCGCTCAGTCTCAAGTAGGTATGTGTTTGCCAGCCATTTACCGGAGGAAGCACCAGGTGGGAGGTTGCAGGAGGAAGCTCAGGTACTCCCAGGAGTTTCGGCTGGGAAAAGGATCACCAGCTCCATTCCACCCTCTGTGCTTGCGGTGGTAGCTGCTTGGGATGATGGAGCCCCTTCATTCTTGTCTCTAGAATGTAGCAGGTTTCTAGAGGGACATTCTGGTTTTTCTGTCTCTACCTGCAAGTATAAAAGAGGCTTCAACTTTAAGTGTCGCTTCCAGCAGGCATGCTCTGCTTCAGGCTCTGCCTCTGGCAGGTAGTACCGAGAGTTGCCATGGTATTTCCCATCATTGTTGTTTCTTCTAGACCTGTGTCGAGGCAGACCTGTTCTCTGGATTGCTTTTCTTCTTTTAAAATATTTTCTTCCTGCTTTCTTATTTTCTCCTTTTCTTCCTCCCTCTCTAACTTTTTAAATGCATACTCTGAAAAAGATAATTTCTATACTGCTAATCACCAATATTTAGCATCACTGAAATCCTCAGGTGTGGGAGAAGCTACCAGTGCTCTACCTATACTACTGAAGAATCTGAAGTCATTCAATAATAATAATAATAATAATAATAATTATTATTATTATTATTATTATTATATTTTTT